CCTCTGCGCCCGCCGCATCGTCGCCCACCACCCCCTGCCCATCCTGCCCGCCCTTCCCGCCCACCTCTACCCCATCCTCTTCCAAGCGGCGTTCCTGGACGGGAGACCCCTGGTCCTGCGGGATTTGGTGGCCGCTTGGCCTTTCCCGGTGCTCAACTTCCAGCGGCTCGTGGGGCGCCGGGAGCTGCTCCGGGACCATCCCTGCAAGCTCTGCGTCCAGGCCGTCATCCTGGCCGTGGTGGCGCAGCTCCGGCGGCAGCTGGAAGAGCCCGGACACGACGCCAGGTGGGTTCTGGGGAAGCGTGGCGTGGTCGCCGCCTCCGTTCCTCGTTTCCTCCATCCGTTTTCGTGGTTCCTTCTCGGTTTTGATTGTTTGCTTCTTGATTGTGATGGTTTCTTCTTGTATTTGATGGTGTTTCTTCTTGTTTTTCATGGTTCCTTCCCATTTTTGATGCTTTCTTGCCATTTTAGATGGTGCCTTCCTTGATGGTTTCTTCTTGGTTTTGATGGTTCCTTCCTTGATGGTTCCATCCCATTTTGGATGGTTTCCTCCAGTTTTTCATGGTTTCTTCTTCTATTTGATGGTTCCCTTTCATTTTTGACGGTTTCTTCCCATTTTTGATGCTTTCTTGCCATTTGTGATGGTTCCTTCCTTGACGGTTCCTTCCCATTTTTGATGGTTTCCTCCTGTATTTCATGGTTTCTTCTTGTTTTTCATGGTTCCTTCTCATTTTTGACAGTTCCTTCTCATTTTTGATGCATTCTTACCGATTTAGATGGTTCCTTCCTTTACGGTTTCTTCCCATTTTTGATGGCATCTTCCTGTTTTTGATGGTTTCTCCTTGGTTTTGATGGTTTCTTCCCATTTCTGATGGTCACCTTCAGTTTTTCATGGTTTCTTTTTGGTTTTGATGGTTTTTTCTTGCATTTGATGTTTCCTTCCTGTTTTTGAGTGTTTCTACCCATTTTTTGATGGTTTCCTTCCCGTTTTTGATTGTTTCCTTCCATTTTTGATAGAGCCATTCCCACACTCCCAGGGGGATTCCCAAGGGTTGGGGGTCTTTGCCAGCCTGAGTGATCCTGTGGTTCCAGGATTTCATTATCCTGATGTTCCCATGATTCCGTTATCCCAATAATAGCTCATGACTCAGTGATTCTATTGTCCCATCATTCCAAGATTCCAGAATTCCTTTGTTCCAGGATTCCCAAAGGTTGGTCTCAATGGTCTTGGAGGTCTTCTCCAATCTTAATGATCCCTTGATTCCATGATTTCATTATCCCAATATTCCCATGTTCCCATGATTCTGTTATCCCAATAGTTCATGACTCAGTGATTCTGTTGTCCCATCATTCCATGATCCCAAAATTCAGTGATTCTCAAAGGCCAAACTTGACAATCTTGGAAGTGTTTTCCAACTCTCAGTGATCCCATAATTCCAGGATTTCATTATCCCAACATTCCCACCATCCCAACATCTTATGATTCAACAATTCCATCATCCCATAAATTCAAGATCCCATAATTCCTTAATTCCAAAATTCTCAAAGGTTGGGCTCGATGGTCTTGAGGATTTTTTCCAACCTGAATGATCCATTGATTCCAGGATTTCTTTATCTCAATGTTCCCATAATCCCATGAATCCGTTCTCCCAAAAGTCTACAACTCGATTCCATCATCCCGTAATTTCATGATCCCGTAATTCCTTTTTCCATGATTCCCAAGTTTTGGGCTCGATGGTCTTGGAGATCTTTTCCAACCTTCACGATCCCACGTTCCCATGATCCCATTATCCCAATAGTCCATGACTCCATCATTCCATAACTCTATGATTTTGTACCTCCATGATCCCATAATCCCTTGTTTCCAGGATTCCCAAAGGTTGGACTTGATGATCTTAAAGCCTTTTCCAACTCAATGGCTCCATGACCTCATAACTCCGTGATTCGTAATTCTGTAACTCCATAATTCTGTAACTCCATAATTCCAGGACTCCATGATCCCGTTATTTCACTTCCACAATTCCTTGGCTCCATGATCCCGTAATCCCAGGATTTTCAGAGGTCAAACTTGATGTTTTTGGAGATCTTTCCCAACGTCAGTCATTCCATAATTCCATGACCTATGATTCCCAAATTCCATGATTCCTTCATCCCATAATTCCATGTTCCTCTAACATCAGACTTGATGTTCTTGGAGTCTTCCCCAACCTCAGCAATTCCATAACTCCATTATTTGATTCCACAATTCCATGATCCCATCATTCCCTAATTCCATGAATTTCAAAGCTTGAACTTGATGGTCTTGGGAGATTTCCCCCAATCTCTGCCATTCCATAATTCCATGATTCCATGACCACACCACACCACACCATCACCCCATAATCTCATGGATCCATAATTCCCTATCTCCACAATCCCTTGATCCTCAAACGTCAAACCTGATGGTCTTGGACACCTTTCCCAACCTGAGCAATTCCATGATTCGATGACCACATAATTCTAAAATCCCGGGATTTTCAGGGGTCAAACTTGATGTTCTTGGAGCTCTTTCCCAACCTCAGTCATTCCATGATCTGATTCCACAATTCCATGATCCCATAATTCCATGATTCTCAAACCTTGACCTTGATGTACTTGGAGAACTTTCCCAACCTCAACCATTCCGTAACTCCATGATCCCATCATTCCAGAATCCCAGAATTTCAGAGGTCAAACTTGATGGTGTTGGAGATCTTTCCCAATTTCAGTCCTTCCACAATTCCATGGCTCCATGATCCCACAATTCCATGATTCTCAAACATTGAACTTGATGATCCTGGCAACTTTACCCGACCTCAGCGATTCTGTTACTCTGTGATTCCATGACCCCATCATTCCAAAATCCCAGGATTTTCAGAGATCAAACTCAATGTTCTTGGAGACCTTTCCCAACCTCAGCCCTTCCATAATTCCACTATTTGATTCCACAATTCCATGACGCCATGTCCCATCATTCCAGAATCCCAGAATTTCAGAGGTCAAACTTGATGGTGTTGGAGATCTTTCCCAATTTCAGTCCTTCCACAATTCCATGGCTCCATGATCCCACAATTCCATGATTCTCAAACATTGAACTTGATGATCCTGGCAACTTTACCCGACCTCAGCGATTCTGTTACTCTGTGATTCCATGACCCCATCATTCCAAAATCCCAGGATTTTCAGAGATCAAACTCAATGTTCTTGGAGACCTTTCCCAACCTCAGCCCTTCCATAATTCCACTATTTGATTCCACAATTCCATGATGCCATGATCCCGTAATTCCATGATTCTCAAACCTTGAGCTTGACATTCTTGGAGACCTTTCCCAACCTCAGCCATCCCACAATCCCATGATCCCATGGATGCAATCCCAGCTCTCATTCCCCACAAATCCCAACACATCCTCCCTCGGGCCTCACCTCTCCCTTTTCCCTCCCGCCAGCGACCTCCAGGCTCCGTTGGAAAGCTTGGAATTGGCCTTCTGCTCCCTCGTTCCCGCCGACCTCGCCTTCCTCTCCCAAAGAGTCTCTCCATGACTCCAGAACTCTGGATCCCAGCATTCTGGGATCCCAGAACTCCATGATCCCATCATAATTCCATGATTTTCAAAGCTTGAACTTGATGTTCCTGGAGATTTCCCCCAGTCTCAGCCATTCCATAATTCCACGATTCCATGACCACACCACTCCATGACCCCATAGTCTCATGGATCCATAACTCCATAACTCCTTGATCCCACGCTCCTCACCTGTCAAACTTGATGTTCTTGGAGACCTCTCCCAACATGAGTAATTCCATGATCCCATAATTCCAAAATCCCGTGATTTTCAGAGGTCCAACTTGATGTTCTTGGAGCTCTTTCCCAACTCCTTCCACAATTCCAAGTCTCCGTGATCCCATAATTCCATGACTTTCAATCCTTGAACTTGATGGTCTTGGAGACCTTTGCCAACCTCAGCCACTCCATAATTCCACTATTTGATTCCACAATTCCATGACGCCATAATTCCATGATTCTCAAACCTTGACCTTGATGTTCTTGGAGACCTTTCCCAACCTCAGCCATCCCACAACCCCATGATCCCATGGATGCAATCCCAGCTCTCATTCCCCACGAACCCCCACAAATCCTCCCTTGAGCCTCACCTCTCCCTTTTCCCTCCCGCCAGCGACCTCCAGGCTCCGTTGGAAAGCTTGGAATTGGCCTTCTGCTCCCTCGTTCCCGCCGACCTCGCCTTCCTCTCCCAAAGCTTCCACGCTCCGGCCCTCAAGAGGTTGGATCTGAGCGGCCACGACTTCTCCCAAGGCCTCCTGGAGCCGCTGCGGCTGCTCCTGGAGGAAACCTCGGCCTCGCTGCTGCACCTGGATCTCATGGAATGCCGCATGGCCGACTCCCACCTGGACGCGCTGCTGCCCACGCTGCGGCGCTGCTCCCGCCTGCGCTTCCTGGGACTCTACGGCAATTCCCTGTCCACGGCCGCGCTCAAGGATCTGCTCCAGAAAACCTTGGAGCTGCCCGATCTCCACCTGGTCGTGTATCCCTTCCCCGTGGATTGCTACAAGCCGGAGCCGCCGTCGGAATCCGGGTGGAATTTTGAGGAACCCGTGGACGAGGAACTTTTGGCGGCGGTCAACGCTGAGTTTTCCCAAATGTTGGTGAATTCCGGGAGGACCGACCTCGTCTGGACTTACAATCCCTATGGCCACGGAACCCTGGACTACTTCTCCTTGTGATTTGGGAAAACCCTTGGACAACTTCTCCTTGTGATTTGGGAAAAGCTCGGAGCCTCCATCGCGGAAAAGCGCCGCCGCCTCCTTCCCAAAATCCGGGCGTTCTCTGCCTCATCCCGGTGCTTTTCCGCCTCATCCCGGTGCTTTTTTCCTTTCATTTTGGTGCTTTTCTGCCTGGTTTTTCTATTTTTTCCATCCTCAAGTTTTGTGTCTTATTTTAGGATTTTTCCATCCCGATATTTTCCCCCTCATCCCGATATTTTACCGTCCAATTTTGGTGTTTTCCCACCTCAACCCCGAAGTTTTTCCCGGAACTTTTATTGCCATGTCCATAGGGAAAAAGCCCTTGAATGCCCTTAATTCATATGGGACATTAATTAATTTTAAAATAAATGTTAATTAATTATGGATCATTAATTATTAATTAATAAGCCGCCACCACCCGAATCACCCAAATCCTTCATTCCAAATTCCCAAATGCTTCAATCCAAATTCCCAAATCCTTCATCCCAAATCCCAAAGTTCCCAAATCCTTGATCCAAAGCACCCAAACCCTTAATCCCAAATCCCCAAACCCTTCATCCTAAATCCTTAATTCCAAATCTTTGATCCCAAATCCCGAATTCCTTCATTCCAAATCCCCAAATCCTTCATCCCAAATTCGCCATCCCAAATCCTCCATCCCAAATCCTCAAATCCTTGATCCAAAGTTCCCAAACCTTTTATCCCAGATCCCCAAATCATTCATCCCAAATTCCAAAATCCTTCATCCGCAGTTCCCAAACCCTTCATCCCAAATCCTTGGTCTAAAGTTCCCAAATCCTTCATCCCAAAATTCTCAAATCCTTTATCCCAAATCCTCAAATTTTTCATTCCAAATCCTTTATCCCAAATCCCCAAATCCTTCATCCCAAACCCTTTATCCCAAATCATCAAATCCTTTATCCCAAATCCCCAAACCCTTTATCCCAAACTCCCGAACACTTCATCCCAAACCCTTCATCCCAAATTCCCAAATCCTCCATCCCAAATTCCCAAACCCTTCATCCCAAATTCCCAAACCCTTCATCCTAAATTCCCAAACCCTTCATCCCAAATCCCCAAACCCTTCATCCCAAATTCTCAAATCCTTTATCCCAAATCCTCAAATCCTTTATCCCAAATCCCCAATTCCTTCATCCCAAATCCCCAAATCCTTCATCCCAAATTCTGAAACCCTTCATCCCAAATCCTTCACCCGCAGTGAGCGATCGACAGAGCAACTTCCACTCTTTTTTTTGGGAATTTCACGGGAAAACCGCGGTGTTCACCTGCCAGGAATTTTGGGATGCTCCAACCCCTTGGGAATACCTCAGGAATTCCCATTTTTCCAGGGAATAATTGGGAATTTCACCTCATTCCATGCGGGATTTAAAGAAGGAATGAATTTTTTGTGATTTTCTGTGAATTTTAGGGATGAGGAAAAAGAAAAGGGGAAACGCTTCCTGAAATTCATGATTTAAATCAAAAATAGAGTCCTTAATTAATTAATGAGTGAACTTAATGAACGATGGAATTAATTTATTAGGATTTCATTAGGATTTCCCGGGCATTTTAGGCATTTAAGACGCCGAAATCGCAGCTTCAACCTCCAATCCCGATTTTTCCGCCCGTAGAATTCCCAAAATTTCCCCGGAGAGCCGATACTTCTTCCCTTCCCACCAAAAATGCGTCGGGGGCTTTTCGGGCCCGTCCTCGAATCGAAATTCCGAGCTCAACTCTTCGGCCAACGCCGAACGCACCAAGCCAACCCCGCCGACTTTTTCCGGCGCCGGGTGGTAAAGGCGCCCGTTTTCCGGGAATACCGCGAGCATTCCCGGCTGGAAGGGCACGGTGAGCTCGGAGCCGCCCCCGCAGTAGGACAGCAGGGAATTCCCACGGGAGCCGGGCAGGATTTGGGTGAAAACCACGGGAAGGTCGGAGCAGCGAAGGAAATTGCGCTCGCGGCCGCAGCGGGACAGGAACGGGAATTGCGCCTGGTAGCGCCCGCTGCGGTTCCGCTCCAGGCGCCGGAAGAAGAAGGAGAGGAACGCGACGTCTGGGGGGACAGCTGGGGTCAGCGAGGGGATTGGGGGTTGGATAATGGGGATTTTGGGGATTTTTGGGGATTTTTGGGTGATTATTGGGGTTTTTGGTGGTTTTTTGGGCTTTTTTTGTGGGTTTTTAGACGGATTTTGGCAGCTTTTTTGGGGTTTTCATGGAGATTTTTGATGGTTTTCTGGTGTTTTTTTTGGGTGTTTTCAGTGTTTTTTGGGGTTTTTTTTGGTCATTCTTGAGGCGGTTTTTGGGTTTTTTCCGGTCTTATTTGAGGTTTCTGAGGTGGTTTTTGTGGTGGTTTTGTAGGGTTTTTTGGCGGGTTTTTGGGGTTTTTCTGGTAGTTATTTTGGGGTTTCCTGGGTTTTTTTGGGTTCTGCAGGGGCTTTTTGAGGATTTTACTGAGCTTTTTATGAAGGACTTTGGGTGGTTTTTGGGGTTCTTTTGGGGTTTTCAGATGGATTTTAACGGCTTTTTTGGGGTTTTCGTGGAGATTTTTGATGGTTTCCTGGTGGTTTTTTGGGTTTTTTTTGGGGTGTTTTCCGTGGTTTTGGGTTTATTTTGGGGTTTTCGCGTGGTTTGTGGTGGTTTTTTGAGGTGATTTTGATGGTTTTTTGCAGTATTTTTTGGGTTTTTCATGGTGGTTTTTTTGGGCTTTTTTGGGTTTTTTTTGGGGTGTTTTCCGTGGTTTTGGGTTTATTTTGGGGTTTTTCCATTCTTATTTGGGGGGTTTTTCTGGTGGTTTCTGTGGTGGGTTTGTAGGGTTTTTTGGCAGTTTTTTTGGGTGGTTTCTTGATTTTTTTTTGGGGTTTTTATGGAGGTTTTTGGTGGTTTTTGCGGAGTTTTTTTGGTGGTTTGTTTTCATTTTTTGGGGGTTTTGTGGAGTTTTTTTAGGGTTTTTTGGGTTGTTTTCCAGGCTTTTTGGGTATTTTTTTGGGTGGTTTTCCAATGGTGTTGTGGGGTTTCTTTGGGGTTTTTCCGGTGTCTTTTTGAGGGTTTTTTTTGAGGTTTTTATGGGTGTTTTTTCATAGGTTTTTTGGGGTATATTGAGATTTTTTTGGTGGTTTTTCTGGTGGTTTTGGTGGAGGTTTTTTGGGGTTTTCTGGAAATTTTAGAGATGAAGGGAAAGAAGAACGAGAATTGAGCCTGGTAGCGCCCGCTGTGGTTTTTGTGGGATTTTTTGGGTGATTATTGGGGTTTTTGGTGGTTTTTTGGGCTTTTTTTGCCGGTTTTTAGACAGATTTTGGCAGCTTTTTTGGGGTTTTCATGGAGATTTTTGATGGATTTCTGGTGGTTTTTTGGGGTGTTTTCAGTGTTTTCTGGTGGTTTTTTTGGCTGTTTTCCGTGTTTTTTGGGGTTTTTTTGGTCATTCTTCTGGCGGTTTTTGGGTTTTTTCCGGTCTTATTTGAGGTTTCTGAGGTGGTTTTTGTGGTGGTTTTGTTGGGTTTTTTGGTGGGTTTTTTGGGTTTTTCTGGTCGTTACTTTGGGGTTTCCTGGGTTTTTTTGGGGTTCTGCAGGGGCTTTTTGAGGTTTTTACTGAGCTTTTTATGAAGGACTTTTGGGGTTCTTTTGGGGTTTTCGCGTGGTTTGTGGCGGTTTTTTGAGGTGATTTTGATGGTTTTTTGCAGTATTTTTTGGGTTTTTCATGGTGGTTTTTTTGGGCTTTTTTGGGTTTTTTTTTCAGTGTTTTTTGGGGGTTTTTTTGGTGGTTTTGTGGTAGTTTATGGGGTTTTCTTGGTGGTTTTTCAGGGATTTTTTGGGGGATTTTCTGGTTGATTTTTGGTGGTTTTTTTGGGGGTTTCTCCGGTGATTTCTAGGAAATTTTGGATGGTTTTTGGGGTAGTTTTGGTGGTTTTTTTGGTGGTTTTTTGGGGTTTTGGATGGATTTGCCATTTTTTGGGGTTTCCGTGGAGATTTTTGAGGTGCTTTTGGGGTTTTTTTTTGTGGTTTGTTTTTCATTTGTTAGGGATTTTGTGGAGTTTTTTAGAGTTTTTTTGGGTTGCTTTCCAGTTTTTTGGGGTTTTTCTAGTGGTATTTTGGGTTTCTTTGGGGTTTTTCCGGTGTCTGTTTGTTTTTTTTGGGTTTTTTTGTGGTTTTTATGGGTTTTTCCATAGGTTTTTTTGGGGTTTTTGTGGAGATTTTTTGGGCTTTTTCGGGGTGTTTCCTGGGTTTTTTTCCATTCTTATTTGAGGTTTTTCTTTGTGGTTTTTGTGGTGGTTTTGTCAGATTTTTGGCAGGTTTTGGACGGTTTTTTTGCCTTTTTTTTGGGGATTTTCGTGGAGATTTCTTGGGGTGTTTTTGGTGGTTTTTATGGACCTTCTTCAGTGATTTTTAGGTTGTTTTCCAGGATTTTTTTGGATGTTTTTCGGGGTTTTTCCTGTGATATTTTGGGGTTTCTTTGGAGTTTTTCCCGTGAATCTTTTGGGGATTTTTTTTAGGGTTTTTGGGGTTTTTTGGCGGCTTTTGTTGTTTATTTTTTTGGGTTTTTCCAGTGATCTTTGGAGTTTTTTTTGAAGTTTTTATGGAGTTTCTTTTGGGGCTTAATGGGGTTTTTTTTTGGTGGTTTTTTTGGGGTTTTTGTGGCGGTTTTGAGGCTTTTTCCCAAAGTATTTTGGGGGTTTTTTCTGGTGGTTTTGGGATTATTTTCCAGTTTCTTTTGGGTTTTTCAAGTGGTATTTTGAGGTTTCTTTGGGCTTTTCCCAGTGTCTTTTTGGGGTCTTTTGAGGGATTTTTTTTAGGGTTTTGTGGTGGATTTTAGTGTTTTTTCCACGGTCTTTTTGGAGGTTTTTCTGGTTACTTTTTGGGGTTTTCCAGTGCTTTTTTGGTGAATTTTGGGGTTTTTTTGACCTTTCTTGAGGGGATTTTCATGGTTTTTAGATTTTTTTTTTCTGGTGAAATTTTTAGGGTTTTTTTTCCAGGTTTTTCCAGGGTTTTCCTGTGGTTCTTTTTGGATTTTTGGTGGTTTTTGTGGAGTTCCTTTCATTCGTTTTTTTTGGGGATTTTTTTGAGGTTTTTGTGGAGTTTTTGTGGCATTTTCTGGAGGTTTCCCAATAATTCTTTTGGTGTATTTTGGGTTTTTTTTTGGGGGGTTTTTTTTTGGGTTTTTTTCAGTTTCTTTGGGGGTTTTTGGGGGTTTCTGCCACTGGTTTTTTGGGGTTTCTTTGGGATTTCTTCCAGGTCTTTTTGGGAGTCTTTTGGGGGTTTTTTTGGTGGTTTCCAGGAATTTTTTTGAGTTTTTTGGGAGGGTTTTATTTGAGATTTTTGGTGGTTTTTTTGATGGTTTCTGGGAGTTTTTGGGCTTTTTTTTTTGTTTTTTTTTTTTTTTTAGTGGCATTTTGGGCTTTTTCCAATGTATTTGTGGTGTTTTTTTGAGTTTTCTTGGTGATTTTTGTGGAGATTTTTTGGGTTTTTTTTCCAGTGGTTTTTTTTTTGTATTTTTGGTTGGTTTTTTTGTTTTGTTTTGTTTTTTTGTTTTTTCAGTTTTTTTGGGGTATTTTTGATGTTTTTCTTCGAGGATTTTTTTTTGCTGTGCATTTCTGCACTTTTTTGAAATTTTTATTTTGTTTTTTTGAGGGGTTTTTTTTGTGGAGGTTTTGGGGTTTTTTTTGGGTTCGTTTGGTCGTTTTTCTGACACTTTTCTGCTTTTTTTAAAAATTTCAAACTGATTTCTTAATTAACTACTTAGAGGATTTCTTAATTAGTTTGGGATTTAATAATTAGAGAATTTAACCTCTAAGAAAATGATTAATTAATCAGGGAACGATTAATTAATGAGATGTTAATATGCAAATTAGGAGCTCCCACTCCCCCCCCCTTCCCAAGGCTCAATGCCCCCAATTAAGGATTAAATCCTAATTACGGCTCCAATCCCAATTAATAACCAACTCCTAATCAATATTCGGCTCCCAATTAACAAGAGGAATAATTAATTGGGTTAATTAGGGCGGTACCTTTGAAGCAGGTGACGAAGTTCTTGACTTTGGTGTCGTCCAGGAAAAGCTGCGGAAAAAGCGGGAAAAAGCCTCAAAACGCTCGAGTTTTCCCAAAAAAAACCCGGGATTTTTCTCTGGGATGGCTTTGGGATCGGTCCTGGATCCTTTCGGGGTTTTTTTAGGGGATCCAGCTGGGATTTGCCCGGGATTTTTGGGATTTTTTTTGGGATCTCCTCTGAGTCCATGGAAAGGTTTTTTGGGTTTCCTTTGGAATCTGAGTTTGGAAATGGCTTTGGAATTTGGGATTTGTCTGGGATCTGGCCAGGATCCATCTGGGATGTGTTTGGGATTTATCTGAGTTTAATCCGGGATTAACCCGGGTTTATTTCGGAATTATTTTGGGATCTGACCGGGATCCTCCCGGCTTTTATCCGGGATCCATCTTTGATCCGCCCGGATCCTCCTTGCGATTTTTTTCGGGATCTGCCCAGAATTCAGGCGGGATCCATTCCCCAGAACCCCCTCCCGACCCTCCAACTCCCATCGATCCCTTATCGATCCCTTATCGATCCCCCCTCACCTGCCCCTGGTGATCGACGTAATAAAAATACTCGCGGGTTCCAGGCCCCGGCCGCTGCCCCTGCTGGTACCGGAGCCCCGGGCGCGAGCAGAGCCGCAGCACCGCCCCCGCCCTCATCGCGACAGCGACCGGCGACCCCCGACACGGCCGGGCCGCCTCCCTGTCGCGACAGACGACAGCGACGGCCGCGCCACCGGCGCCACCCGGAAGCGGCCGCCTGGGGGACCGCAATGCGCGGGCACCTCCCGTGGTGCGGCGCTGAAAAGGTTCCGGCGGGAAGCGGAAGTGCAAGGAGAAGGGCCGGTTGCGGTCCCGCTGCTATAGGGGACCGTATAGATCTCCAGATCCTATAGAATTCCTCTAAAACCCCCCAGATTTTCTCTATACGGGTTCAGAGGACTACAGAGCCTCAGCGACACCATAAAAATCGGCTATAGGCCCCTCCTGGCGCTGCGCGCCCTCATAGATGCGCCCCCCCCTCAGCTTCCCGCCATTTTCCCCTCAGGGCCCTCAGGGCCCCACAGGCGCCGGGAAAAGCTCCGGGATGAGGGGAAAAGTTGGAAAATGAGGCTGAAAAATCTCGGGATGAGGGAAAAAGCATCGGGATGAGGTAGAAAACCAACTGGGATGGGGTGGAGAAATAGCGGCATGAGGGGAAAAGTGGAAAATGAGGGGGGAAATGTGGAAAATGTTCGGGGAAAACAACAAAATGAGGCGGGGAAATGTCGGGATGAAGGGGGAAAACACCGGGATGAGGGGAAAACCACTGAGATATGGGGGAAAATACAAAATTTAGGTGAAAAACAAACAAAAAAAAAATAAGGGAGGGAAACCCACCAGGATGAGGGGGGAAATGTTTGGATAAGGTAAAAAAACCCCCAAATTTAGGTGGAAAAAAATCAAAATAAGGGAGAAAAACATTGGGATGAGGGGGAAAATACCAAAATGAGTGGAAAAGCAGCAAAATGAGGCAGAAACCGGAGAAATGAGGTGGAAAACCACTGGGGTGAGGGAGGAAAATACAAAAATGAGGCTGAAAACCACAAGGATGAGGGGAAAAACTGGGAAAAGGTGGAAAAATATTGGGGAAAAGTGGAAAAATGGGAAAAACCCATCAAAATGAGGTGGAAAAACACCGGTATAACGTGAAAAAAAAAAACCTGGGATGAGGTGGAAAACCATCAAAATGAGGTGGAAATGAAGGAAATAATGGAGGATTCTTGGATCAGCGTAAGGATCAGGAGAGATCCCTCAGGAAATCCCACCCGGGAACGACAAACTCGGGATGTGGGATAGGATGAGTTTATTTCCAACGGAATCAGAGCAGGATAACAAGACCCCAAATCCAACTTTTCCCTCCCCCAATTCCCTCGTTCCTGGCTTTCCCTCAATCCTTCCAGCAGCGCTGGAGGCCATCCCAGGAGAGTTTTCCATGGATTTCTCCAAGGTGAATGCATCCCACAGCGAGTTTTCCATGGATTTCTCCAAGGTGAATCCATCCCACAGCGAGTTTTCCATGGATTTTTCAGCTATGGGAAAGTTTTCCATGGATTTCTCCAAGGTGAATCCATCCCACAGCGAGTTTTCCATGGATTTTTCAGCTATGGGAAAGTTTTCCATGGATTTCTCCAAGGTGAATCCATCCCACAGCGAGTTTTCCGTGGATTTTTCAGCTATGGGAAAGTTTTCCATGGTTTTCTCCAAGGTGAATCCATCCCACAGCGAGTTTTCCGTGGATTTTTCAGCTATGGGAAAGTTTTCCATGGATTTCTCCAAGGTGAATCCATCCCACAGCGAGTTTTCCATGGATTTTTCAGCTATGGGAAAGTTTTCCATGGATTTCTCCAAGGTGAATCCATCCCAAGGTAAGTTTTCCATGCATTTTGGAAATAATGGAGGATTCTTGGATCAGCGTAAGGATCAGGAGAGATCCCTCAGGAAATCCCATCCGGGAACGACAAACTCGGGATCTGGGATAGGATGAGTTTATTTCCAACGGAATCAGAGCAGGATAACAAGACCCCAAATCCAACTTTTCCCTCCCCCAATTCCCTCGTTCCTGGCTTTCCCTCAATCCTTCCAGCAGCGCTGGAGGCCATCCCAGGAGAGTTTTCCATGGATTTCTCCAAGGTGAATGCATCCCACAGCGAGTTTTCCATGGATTTCTCCAAGGTGAATCCATCCCACAGCGAGTTTTCCATGGATTTTTCAGCTATGGGAAAGTTTTCCATGGATTTCTCCAAGGTGAATCCATCCCACAGCGAGTTTTCCATGGATTTTTCAGCTATGGGAAAGTTTTCCATGGATTTCTCCAAGGTGAATCCATCCCACAGCGAGTTTTCCATGGATTTTTCAGCTATGGGAAAGTTTTCCATGGATTTCTCCAAGGTGAATCCATCCCAAGGTAAGTTTTCCATGCATTTTCTAACGCAAATCCATCCCACGGCAAGAGTTTTCCACGGATTTCTCCAACGCGTCGCTCCCACGGAAGACAATTCTTCATGGATTTTTCCAAGGGGTCAATCCTTCAGGAATATCCTGCTCCAAAGGGTTTTTTCCTCCATGGGATTCCTCCCAGGAATCTGCTCCTTTTTCCACGGATCCGCAGGTCCCTGCCAAGATCCAGCTCCAGGATGAGCTTCCCATTGGATGCGCCACGGAATTTTGGGAATTTCCACTCCAGCACCATGCAATCATCTCCAGAGTTGTGCCTTTGCAAAATTCCCACTCTGGAATTCCATCTGTGCCTGGATTGGTTTCTTCCCACTTAATTCTTATTCCAGAGGCGCCACCGCCGTTCTCGACGGGATCGGTCGGACACGGGAGAAGCTTCCGGAAACTTCCCATGGAATCCAGCCCCGGAGCCTCCCGGAATTTGGCCATGCAAAGCCAATCCTGATGGAAAAACACCGGGATGGGCTGGAAAAAGCATGAAATGGGAGGAAAAACACTGGGATGAGGCAGAAAAATAATGAAATGGGAGGAAAAATACAGGGATGAGGTGGAAAAATGCCGGGATGAGGGGAAAACTATCGGGATGGGGAGGAACAAACTCAAACTGTGGCAGAAAAGCTACAAAATCAGGGGAAAAACTTGGGATGGGTAGGAAAAAAAGCGGGATGAGCTGGAAAAATACTGAGAACAGGTGGAAAAGCACCGAAATAAAGGGGAAAAAAACCACTGGAATGAGGCGGAAAAGCACCGGGATGAGGCAGAGAACGCCCGGATTTTGGGAAGGAGGCGGCGGCGCTTTTCCGCGATGGAGGCTCCGAGCTTTTCCCAAATCACAAGGAGAAGTAGTCCAGGGTTCCGTGGCCATAGGGATTGTAAGTCCAGACGAGGTCGGTCCTCCCGGAATTCGCCAGCAGCTGGGAAATCTCCGCGGTGGCCGCTGCCAAACGTTCGCCATCCATGGGCTCCTCGTAAATCCGTCGGGATCCCGGGACTCGGCGCGGAGAATGACTTGGGTTGGGAAGGATCTCCGAGAACATCAAGTTGTACCTTTGTAAGTCATGGAATTATGGGGTCATGGAGCCAGGGAATTGTGGCATTGTGGAGTTATGGGGTCTTGGGATCGTGGAGTTATGGAATTGTCGAATCCTGGGATATTGGGATTCTGGGATCAGGCAGTCATGAAATTATGGGATCATGGAGTTATGAGGTCATGGAGCCACTGAAGTTGGAAAAGACTTCAAGATCATCAAGTCCAACCTTTGGGAATCCTGGAAACAAGGGATTATGGGATCATGGAGGTACAAAATCATAGAGTTATGGAATGATGGAGTCATGGACTATTGGGATAATGGGATCATGGGAACCTAGGATCATTAAGGTTGGAAAAGATCTCCAAGACTATCGAGCCCAAACCTTGGGAATCATGGAAAAAGGAATTACGGGATCATGAAATTATGGCATAATGGAATCATTGAATCACAGGATCATGGGAACATTGAGATAAAGAAATCTTGGAATCAATGGATCATTCAGGTTGGAAAAAATCCTCAAGACCATCGAGCCCAACCTTTGGGAAACCTGAAATTAAAGAATTACGGGATCTTGAATTTATGGAATGATGGAATCGTTGAATCATAAGATGTTGGGATGATGGGATCATGGGACTGTTGGGATAATGAAATCCTGGAATTATGGGATCACTGAGAGTTGGAAAACACTTCCAAGATTGTCAAGTTTGGCCTTTGAGAATCCTGGGATCATGGAATTTTGGGATCACGGAATCACTGAGTCATGAACTATTGGGATAACAGAATCATGGGAACATGGGAATATTGGGATAATGAAATCATGGAATCAAGGGATCATTAAGATTGGAGAAGACCTCCAAGACCATTGAGACCAACCTTTGGGAATCCTGGAACAAAGGAATTCTGGAATCTTGGAATGATGGGACAATAGAATCACTGAGTCATGAGCTATTATTGGGATAACGGAATCATGGGAACATCAGGATAATGAAATCCTGGAACCACGGGATCATTCAGGCTGGAAAAGACCCCCAAGATCCCCAACCCTTGGAATCCCCCCAGGAGCACGGGAAGGTCCCGGCCAGGCCCCGCTCCGTGGAGAACTCAC